ATTAAATTTTACATTATACGAGCTTAATAACTAAACAGCGGACATTTATAAGAAACTTTTATTTTTATATTAAGTTTCATTTTAAAAAGTTATTTTAACCTACAGAGACGAATAATAAATTGATATCACAAAAATTAATTTGAGAATAAAGAATTGTTCAACGTGTTATTTTATTGTATAATTTGAAATAAAATCTAAAAAATTAATATTTAAATATTTTTATTATTAAGAACAGAATATATTGCTGAATATTATATGTGATTCGAAATATTTTAGAATATATATTGTAAAATATATTAAAAAAATTCATGCAACAATTCATCAAAGTAAAATGGATAATTGGAGTTACCATTGTAAATTAAATGTATAGCTATTTAGATAAGACTAGGTCAACCCTTGGTCCTTCGTATCAATAGCAATTGTACATCGATGCAGTTAGACGTTAATTTGCATATCTCTTGAGATATTAGTGTATTTCGAACGAGTATCGATTACACAATAGACTTATATCAAATAATTTCTGTGCTCAATCCATCAAATTACATGGCAATTTGTTAAAAAATCAAAATTATTCAATGTATGATATGGAATACATTATTTGTACAAAGAATTAAAAAATTGATGGATTATATAAAAGAAAAAATATGAATAGAAGAAATTTATAAAATATATATTTAAATATGTATCTCTGAATGATGCATTTAATAAATATTAAACTACGAAATAAATAATTATAGATTGTATTAAATTTTTAATAAATTCGCATAAAGAATGTATGTTTCTAACAGAAGATTTAATAAAAAAAAAAAAAAAATAGAACCAAACATTCAAGGAAATGTACTAACATCATTCCATCAATAATTAATTTGATAGAAACGATTTTTCTTAAAATTAAATCTTCCAGAGAAGAATAAAAGAACTTCTCTTTCACTATTAAAAAATAATCATACATTTTGATCTTATTTTTTTATATTTTGACAACAAATGATGATATTATCACTATAATATAATATAATGTAACATAGACAAATTTTCCATCCTACAAAAGCTCCAATAAATAAAGCTCCCAAATAATACCACTTTAAAGAACGCTCTATCTCTCTCTAATTACCATAAAAAGCAGGCGTGTTTACGTAAGGGGAACGATTTTAATTATCCGCAGTTAACATCAGCGGGGTAGCTCGCGGGGGTTGATACCGTGTCGCGAAAACAGCTGGCCATTTTCGTCGATTTTTCATCGAGCCCCCTACAGCCATGAATCCCACCGAGGCCCCCAGCCCCACGAATTTCTGCGTGAAAAACTTAATTAGTGGCCGCCCCATCCCTAAAGGACACCCTCCCTCTCTCCCCCTCCCAC